AGATAATCACAGAAAGAACATATGGAAACATTCCTATTATCATCAACTAATATTCTTCAAATCACCAAATATCTCTCTTCTTCAACAAATATATTTCTCCGTATAAGAGATACATAGGTATTTTCTGTCATCCATCTAATAAATTCCACCACCTATGTTGCCCGACGTTACAGTCATAATATCCTAAACTACATGCATTTCATTTAGGGGTGTTACGTGTAGCGAGCCGCTCTTTGGCTCAACTCGTCCCACTAACTTAGTTGAGCAGCGATTTGGCCATGCAAGCTGTTTGTCGACTCACGAGCCCGAGAGCTTGTTGGCTCACCAAATATGGAAAAATATACAATTTTGGTGTAAAAAAATTAAATATGGCGAACTGCGATTTGGTGTACAAAAAATTAAATATGACGAACTGCGATCGGCTCGCGAGCCCCACCACGGAGAGATCTGGTGGGACAAGCTGACTAGTCCCATAGCCTAGCAGAGCTGAACCCTCAGTAGGTGAGCTGAGCGGCTCGAGTCTCTCCTATTTAACACCCTTATTTCAATTTAGTTTGTGTTGGGCATGGGAACAACACATTATAAACTACAAACTTGATTTGGCGTTATAAGAATAAAGAGAATTATCTAAATATGGTTAATGTAAAATACACAAATTTCCATGGAAATTAATTATTACTGCTCAATCAGTTCCTTTTCTATATTTGTTGTTGTTGGAAATTATAGATCTAATTTGATTATTGATTTCAACATTTAATCTTCTGCAACAAATAGCAACTATGTATTCAAGTAATTTTTGAAAGGTCAACTTATATTTTAATGTCTCGGAGTTACTAATTCAATTTGTAAAGTTTAGTGACTTAGGACCTATTTGGTACAGTTTAAAATCCAATTAAAATTGAAAATAAAGCCGTTATTGGGTCTCACTCGTCTAATAAAAGTGAGAACAATAACGGCTATTTTTTCAATTTTAATCGAATTTTAATCTCTATCGAACACGCCCTTAATATTGACATTTTAAAATTTAGAAACCATTCACGACCATGTATAATACAGGCGAACCATATTTTTAACCAAGAAAACATAATTTGAGAAAATTAATAATTCAGAACGGCCGACTCATTGGGCATCTGGAATACGAAACTCAGACTCAATATATTCAAAAACTTATCTAAGTCATTTCTATACGAAGCAAAGAGGTACCAGGCTACAAGCCCATTTACTAATATAAAGATACAAGAAAACAAAGGAAAAAGGCATCCTGAACATGAAAAAGAGGATATGTTAAACAGATTTGAGACTCTACCTCGGCAGTGGTTCTTCGACGGCCAGGAAATTAATTATCGATGAATGCTTCCCAGAAGGTGGAATACTCTGAGACTGTTTTCTTAATTTTATATTGCAAGAAAGGGGTACTCTCCTTTCAGATTTTTCTCTAAGGCGAGATGCAAAGTCCACTGCTGGCAATTCTGATACAGGTTCTGTTTTTGTTCTCGTGACGATGTCGAGATTTTGACCATGCTTCGCTCCATCATTGCCGTTGTGAGCAGATTGGTCTCCTAAGAGAGGTAACCTTGCACTACTGAACTCCATTTTATAGATGGATTTATCATCATCAGACAGGTAACCACTTTCTGCGCCATCCTGCATGGCAAGGTCATCATACTCCTCGTCCGACTTCGTGGATTCTTCGTCCACAGAGCCTTCCAGCTGTTTCAAAACAAGTAAATCTTTTATTAAACATGCCCATAATCAAACACAAGGAGAAGCTACAAAACTTAATCAATCAAGTATATATATTTACATTACTAGAAGATCCACTTAGATATTATAAGTAACCATAATGAAGTGTTTGTAAGTGAAATCATTCAGTGACCAGACAATGTGTTCCTACCTCGTCTTCATTTTGTTTTTGTCCGTCGCTAAGATCCTCATCACTGTCTATCTCTGGTGGCTCATCAACCTCTTCATCACTACCATGGAAGGACAATTCCTCCTTAAGCTGCAAAACAAAAAGAAGACCACAAAGCAATAGACAAGAGGCAGAGCAATCAGAAAACACAGCCATATGCACAAAACATGAGAATTATTGACGAGACTCTTAAAATTTGTTATCCTGGGAGTTGGCTTAGAATATAAGAGCATGTTCAGTAAGCTTGGTGGGACAGTGCTGGACAAGATCAAGGAAGAGAAGGAAATCAAAATCTTGAATGTTTCCCTTCCACTAATGCCTAATACCGTGGCCCAAACATGCCATAATATCATCCAAACTAAAAGCCAACATTACAATGCCATGATCTTTTGCTTCAGCTGTAATATATCAAGATAATCATCACTTGAGCATACCTCCTTGGCAGGGCCATCCGTCCTTGGTGAGCTGCAGCAGGAAGAATAGTATCTGCTACCATTGTCAGTGAGGTCACCCCGTGATTCATCAACACTACTGGCATGACTAGTGCCCCCGGTATCACTAGGCCAAGCACTGATCCCAAAATGACCAAACTGCAGGTTGACAGGTTCGGCTTTACCTATCAACAATGGTCCATACATAGGTGTTCCTATTCCATTCTCAATTGAACAGCCCACAATAGGCTTGCCATTATCATCTATCATGTCAACTGGCCATGCCTTAGCCACAGATCCGTCATTATTCAAAAGTGCCATCAAATGCCTAGAAGAACCTTGCCTTTGGATCAACTGAAACATTCCCTTGGAGCTCAAGGAATTGGCAGTGCACTGATTCCTGTACTCCTCGTCAACAACAGAAACTGTGTTTGTGGTTGGATCATAAAGCTGCTCTCCAGCTTCACGCCTTCTTAGGCAACTAAAAACTGTTGCATGAATGGCTGCCACACTTTTGTCAACATTTGTGTTGTTTATCTTTGGCACCAAATGCTTATCGGCACGGTTGCAAAGATATTCTTGGATTGTTCGAATGTTCCGTATATATTTAACGTATTTGTTTTTAGCAGGATCTAGTGTCATGTACTTTGCACGGACTGCGAATCTTTCCAAGTGTTTCTCCTCATTTGAAATGTAAATCATGAAAGGTATAATTGAAGGATGTTTCTTCATGAGTCCCATCTGCATGGGAAACCAAATTGTGACCAAAGCATAGGACAAGAGACGAAAGACATAACACTTCAGAAGTTCATAAGAATTAAAAATATGCACGGATTTTTACCACAAAATTGAGACTTAAGTGAACGCCCTCAACCACCACTGACTCTTTCCTTTTCTCCCATGCAGTAATTAACCGATCGAGACTGTCGATTACCATCTCACTTTGTGCCTTAAATCCTTCAACTGCCATCTGTTTGGGACTGATCAAATCACTTGTCATGGAACTTCCATCAAATGCTGGTTTTCCGACTGTGGAACCAATTGATGCATCATCCTTAGCTAGTGAGGGGTGCGAAACGCCAGCTAGTTTCTTTGCTTTCCTTTTGGCCTTGGCTTCTGCAACAGCTACAGGATCCAAATATTCCCCAGCATGGTATGTCGAGGACCATAGTAGAGGATTCTGTTTTTCATCTACAAAGCTTCTCATCATGTGCCGAATTGAATCCGTAGATATAACAGTTGTAATGCCCAACCTGCTACCCTGCAAATATAAAGAATAGCCAATATTAATTTTCTTGAGGTTAATTTGACAAGGATATTAACATACCATTGGAAATGACAAGCGCTACTCACATACGTTACGAAATACTCGTACAAATAGGAACATGGTAAAATATGCACAACGGAATGATGCATGATCACCTTGAACTTCTTGTTTGATTTTGCATGGGAATTTAGAAAATGTTATAAAGACAATGTTAACACTACATAATTTTTCGACAATTGACATAACCCGTTAGTGGAAGTATTTATGGAAAATTTATTGCTTTCAGTCAAACTTTCAACAAACTCAGGTGCAAAAGTGTACAAACTAAGTAAATGATCAGTGTTCGATATTAGCGATTTAGCAAAAATTAACTAATTGAGACCTTCAAATTCAGAAACGTGTGAATACCATGTTAGGTTGTAAACCAAGTTCCCGAATTTTTTTGTATGCCTGGCAGTGGATGACACTGTTAACTTACAAATAGATTAAGGTGTAGAAACTTTAGCGAATTTTAATTTTTGTAACAAGAAGAAATTTTGTGGCAAACAAGAACAGTTTTACCAAATTTTGACAAGTCAATCTTACAATTGAGATGAAATGCAAAATTAATAAATATTATCTTGTCCGGATTCGTTAAGTTCAATTTTACAGAGGAACCTAGTCACATGCAAGCAATATAAGAGCTAAAAAATAAATATCGAATCAAATGCGAAATGTAGCTAAAATTTATAAACAGAAAAAGATGGTAACCGGTAACTCAACACAATGCATTTACAATATACAATGCAAAATGACAATAATTACTTAAACCAAACATCAGCAAAAGAATAAAAATAAATAAAAAAATGAAAGAAGTCTAATGAACACAAACTCTAGAATCCATTTATTAAAGAAAATAGGAAACCATGACATATTAAAACAAAAACACCATACCAGTAAAGCAGACAAGGTAGATTTACCACAGCCGCTAGTACCACACAATAGCACTGTAACAGATTCCTTTCTTTCTCGGATTCTGAGATAACCAAATAAGGACTTAGAGAAAAAAACAAGTTCATTAAAAGGTTGACGTAAAAGAAAAAGACAAAGAACTAGTTTTACCTCCAAATCATAAATACTACTAAGCAACACTGGCTTAACAAAGTTAAGGGCAAAAAACATTATTAGCAAAGGCATTCAGAATACTCTTCAACAATTAGTTCACAAGTAAAAGGAACTGGAACCTTAAATTTAATAATATCTGGAAGGTAATCCAACAATATGGCCTGTGAAGGAACAGGTGATCCCACCTCATGTTACTCCAGCATTTCTTAAGGAAACACATGATCCCACATTTTTTACGTAAATTTGTCTTTCAATTCGTGATGAACTCAAAACCGTCCACAAAAGTACTTATAGGATTGATCTACGGGAAACATAAAAGTGTATAAATAATGAAATATAATCATGTTATCAACGATCCATCAGCAGTTGAATGTCACATTTTTGAACTTCGATTCTGGAGTCAGACAAAACTGCAGCTAGAAAGGGAAATCTTAGTTATAACTCTCTCTCTCTCTCATGGTAAATTTATGTAAAATTGGTAAGTGTATACGTGTGTTATTTATTGATCAAGTTAATTTTGTTTTAATTGGGATCATTTCAATAAAAGAAATTAGTGTTGGTCTTAAATTCATTTTATTTTACCATAGACTTGCTAGGTAAATCATATGTTCATTCAATTATGCAATTTAACAAGGAAAGATTCAAAGATATATTAGTGAATCGTCTTGCACACTCATGGGATGTGAAGCCTAGATTTCACTGCTGATTTCCAGTAAAGCTTGGATATCTAAAATTAGACAATAAAGGTGAAAGAAGAAGTAATAACTCACAACAAAAATTTTACCATACATAATGTAAAGAAAAATGAAGATGAAATAACAGAATCTTTAAGTTGCACTTAAAAAAGGAGTTAGAAAGATGCCGTTGTTGGACATGAGATGCTAATTGTACCTGCAAGCTAAAACCAAATCAGCCCTCTGATTCGGGCCAACATACTTGTAATCAGCAAGAGCTTCGCAAACAACGTCTAGAAAAGTTTTTCTTCTAACCACCACGGTTGTGCGTCTTTTGTACAATTCAAAGGGTTTACTCTTGCTTTTATCTACCTCTGAAGACAAATGTTCATTAGCATCCATTTTATCCACACAGGAATCACCTATAAAATCGGTCTCCCTTTGAGGATATACTTTAGCATTCTGTTGTAACGCGTCTAGACAAGATGAAATAAGCTTATCCACGAAGCATCCACTCCTCATCACTTCAAATACCCTTTGGCTGATCTGGACAAAATAAGAATTACAAGGCATGAAGTCAAAAAGACAACAGTGGTAGAGGACAAAGATGTGCGCCAAAAGAAAAAACAAATCAAGATGCCGAAATCCAACTTGCAAACAATGCATCCATTGACACGAAAGTTTCATGTCAACCAAAACAGATATTACTTTGACGTACGAGATTTCCATGCAAATGTCACAGTTAGATCAATTGGATGACACGTGTAAATGCAAATCAGATGGATTTCAGTATTGCAGACCTCTAAGGGCCCAAAAGGCCAGAGAGAAAAGATCCATGCTATTAATAGCATATAATTGTTATATGAGTATTTAGTTATTCATTTAAATGTCTAAAGAAGCCTAAACAGATCAACAACAGTTGCAGAATTCACATTACTTAAATACCTATTACTGAACTGAATACGGTATCAATTATGGAAAATTTTCTAACCAAATCAAGAACAATAGAAGATCCAACATTGCAGACCGAATGGGTAATACAGTGTATCTTGTAATTAACCTGTTAGCAAATCGTGAAAATTGTGACTTCATTAGTTTTCTTTTAATTAGGCGTTTCCCTCTTTTAATTGCTGAAATTTTGCCAGAAAATCTCAAAGATATTTAATAAATAGAAATTTACAAACACTTGCGTGCAGAGGTCTGATCCATGCTTGTAGAGCTTTCGTTCTCAACGAATAATGAAAAAAGTAATAATAGATAAGCAAATAGGCAGTAAAACCAAATTTCTCTCTGTTTATTAGATCTCAACATCCTGTTCGGCTGTTCTTAATTTTAGTTAATTCTTAAAATTCATCATCTCATCCACTCGAATACACAGAGGCAAAAACACCTACAATTACTTGGTGTTTCTGAGTGTAGGCCATGCATATATACACAAACACTCATGCAACACTGCAAGTGCGATAAATTTTTAAACAAAGTTGACGAGATATCCTTGAAGCAAAATGAGAGAAAATAAGAGACCTTAAACGCATGACGAGCTTTGCAACCCATGAGTTGCAGAGTGCTCTGCAAAACAGAACGCGTGTACCGAAACGACGAGGAATCCTCCGCCGCCGCATCATCTTCCACCACCACTATGTACAGCAACTTCGCCACCCCCTCCGCAACCGCCATTCCTCCACCTTCACATGCAGTACACACAAAAATCATCCAATATTCAAATTCAAAGTAGCAATGCAGGTTATTAACAATAGAATCATACCTAAACACGGAAATTCGAGACCAGTGCGGTTATGATTCTACAACTGGATGGAGTTCAAATTGGAGTGAAGATGATGAAAAACTGCAGAAGGGGGCGTTTTTGAAGGCGATCTGGCAATTTGGTATGCCGCCTGGTTCCACGCATCACAGCTTCTATGCCTCCACGAGTCAATCGCCTCTCTCTACAGACAAGACAAGTAAATGACGGATTTGGATCTGGCGAGGGGAAAAAACTACATAAACATAACAATGGATGGGGATATTCATTATTTATAGGTGTAGCAGGAGATAATTTAGAAATTTAATTATTGCCTTTATGGATTTTTTTTTTTTTTTTTAACTAAACGGATATTAGATTTCCACTTTTTTCGAAATATTTTTTTTTCTCTTTTCTTCAACTACACATTCTTCATTAAAATAATATTACACATAAATAAATAAAAAATCTTTTTTTAACCACATATTCTCAATTAATCTGCTATTTCAAACTACATTCTTCAAAAATAATATCGCTCAAAATCAAAGTTAATTTTAACGAAACATCTTAGTAAAATTACAAATATTGTCCATATATCCATTATTTATTGAAAAAGTTACTTTTAATAATAAAAAAATGAAACGGGCATTATGATTTTAGTAGAAAAAATAGGAATTTTTTTTAATTACCGTTGATTGTGTTTTCACATCAAGTGCTCGACCTCCAATTTTTGCAAAATTTAGAGTCCTGAATTCTGTTTATATTCGTTGCAACTAGTATTTTGATTTTTTGGCTTGAGCCTCGTGTCACAAAATATAAAGGGAATTACTTTTCTTTTTTAAATTTCACTTTGTATATATAGATTACACCTATAGCAATGTTAAAATATAGTCAAAGATCACTCGACCTAATTTTACGGGCTTTAACAAAGTAAAACATGATTTACTTTTAGTTAATTAGATCGCGGTATAACGTAGAAAAATAAAAATAAATTCAAAGTTACTATAAATATGGAATTTAATAATTAATTGTTTTTTTTATATATTATCCTTGACCAATGAAACAATTTTCCTAGGGAATGGGGAGAGGATATTGAAATGGGTCATTTTTCGAAACTTAGGTAGTCAACTGAAAGAGACAGACCATCCAATTAAAATTTAAAAAATTATAAAAGATGAGTAAAAATTGACTATTAATCACCACCGGCACTAAGTTTAATGTTGTCCCCATCTTGATTTTGATTTCTTCCGCTATTGTTTGATTGTTCGTATGTTTGATGTAGTGACATAATTCTTGATATAATATTACATCATGTTTTATTATTAGATTGTTTTAGAAACAGTCAATTTTTCATCAAATTGTTTGTAATCACTTTGAATTATATCACTGCATTTGTTAAATTTCTTCTAACAAAATGACAAAATTCACGTTTGATAGAGAAAAACAGTTCAGTCCAGACATGATAAATCTTGAGAGGTGAAAGGTCAAGTCGATTTCAAATTGTGAAGTAAAGAATTTGGGATCAAACAAAGGTCGAGTTCAAGATAAAAACATATTTGACAAAGTATAATATCAAGAAGATAACTCGATAGATCAATTGTAATCCATGGCGAATGTTTAGCTCAACAACATCTAAATATTCATGACAAGAATTGAAGTAAAAAATCTAATTCAACAAATTTCGTGAGTCTAATCAATTTTTGAACACGAACATAATTTTATCTAACAAATGAAATATCATTGAGTGTCGGACGAACAAATATATTCTCTATTTTCCAAAATTATATATTCACAAATAATATGTTATTTTCTAAAGATTCTAAAAATGTATTTTGCCATCATATTAATTAATATCCGTTCATAATTGGTCCTATATTCTCAACTTCTCTACCGTGTTTTAAAAAAAAAAACTATGTGCCCTTGAGTAGTCTTTATCTCAAGTTCAGACTTAAAGTAAACAGAATAAATTCAGCACTTATTATTTTTGTATGACAAGTGTATCCATATTTTCGTCATGCATTACAGTTAGGAGTGTCAATGGGATCCAGCGGCTCCCTCGTTCAGCTCGGCCCATGAATTGCTCGAGCTTGTCTAAAGACGAGTTTGAGTGCAAGTCGAGCTCAAAAAAATTGGACGAGCCAAACCACTTTTATTTTTTATTTTGAAAATGAATTAGAAAAATATACTCCCTCCGTCCAACAACGACATGCTTGCTTCTTTTTTTATTTGTTTCAAATTATAAGCCACTTTCCAAAATGTCATTAATTTCCCTATCTTTCACTATTATCGTGAAAAATGTCATTATCTTTTTTTTTTTTTTTGACATTTTCACCATTAATTATACATTTAATTGCACAAACCATCATTTCAATTAATTTTCATCTAATTTCTCACTAAAAAATTATGAAATGACGAATACACTATCATATTTAAATAAAAAAAAATAAAGAACTAATTGCAACAATAGTCCCAAATAAATTATTAAAAAATTAGAAATTAATTTTTTTAAAAGAAAGTGCAAAAGAGCCTCAAATAAATTATTAAGAAATAAAAAATTAGTTTTTTTTAAAAACTGCAAACAATTAACAAATAAATTATTAAAAAATTATAAATAAAAAAAACTTAAAAAGTGCGAAAGAGTCCCAAATAAATTATTTAAAAACTTAAAAATTAAAAAAATATATTATTATTTTTATTTAAATAAGAGGGTATATTAGTCATTTCATAACTTTTTATTGAGAAATTGGATGAAAATGGATATGAATGATGGTTTGCGCAATCAAATGTGTAACTAATGGTGAAAATGCAACAAAAAAAAAGGTATAAACGTTTTTCATAATAATAGTGAAATGTATATTACGTGCTAATTACCTTTTTAATAATTTATTCGGGACTCGTTTACACTTTTTAAAAATATTTGGAGCTAGGGTTGCAATTATAGTTATTTTTTATTATTTTTGTTTTATTTAAATAAAAGAGTATATTCATTATTTTACAGCTTTTAATTGAAAAGATGGATAAAGATGACCTTTTGCTTAATGAAATATGGAAATAAGGGTGGAAATGTCAAAAAAATAAAAGGTATGAGTATTTTCCATAATAATAGTGAAAAGTAAAGACGTTATATGCTAATTACCCTTAAAAAAAATATATATAAAATTTATAATTCCAACATAAATTAATTAAGTTTCTCAATATGTGTTAAATATAAATGAACCTATCTTTATGAAACGGAATGAGTAACTTCTTTTAATTTGAACACAAACTCATTTTTTTATCAAGTTGACAAACGTAGTATAAAAGTACGTTTGAATAACGAGTTCATGTTTATCGTACGCGTCTCTATCGCCAAATCAATACTTTCTATTGGCTTGAAAATTTAGTTCTTACTTTAAAACCTAAGGTCAAGAAAAAATGGAAAGAAAATCAAAATCAAAATTTAAAATAACACACTTTATTCTATAAATTTTGTTCTATTCAAATCGAAAAGGCTTGGATCAAATAGATAGTCGAGAATCAAGAAAATAACAATATTCTTTCCATGCTTGAAACTATAAAAAGAGATATATATTCCTTACTACATATTTCATTGATATAGTAATTTTTGGTACGCAATCATTGTATTTCTCGATTCTAAAAGATGTTATTTTTCAATTATATTACTAAGGGTGGTTATATTATCACCATAATTTTTATTTGATACACCATATTTTAATTGTAGTTAATCTTCTTAATCTTTATTCGTTGTAGCAATTTTTCCTTAATTTTTTCGTCAAGTTCTTATTTTGAACCTTCCATTAATTAGTACGTCTCGTCGTTAATGATGATTTATGTTAAAATATTTTGTTTCCATGCTATGAAATGAGGAAAAAAATATTTTTTCATACTTTTTATTTTATTTTTTTAAATATGATAGGAAAATAATTTGGTATATACTATTTCAACGGACTTTTTGGATATAAACTGTTTTCAAATATAAAATGTGATGAAAAGGTTGAGTATAAGAATGTCATGAAAAATCGTTAAGAGACATAAATGCTACAATGAGTAAATATTGAGAACCTTAAATGTAATTAAAATGTGGTGCAGGAAATAAAAATTGTGTTGTAAATATAATTAACCTATTACTGTTTTTTTTTTTTTTTTTTGGGTATCGAATTCCGGTGCTCTTATTTTTTTCAACAAAATCTCTTTATGAGCAAAAAAAATTGTGGTAGAGAATTTTAAAAAAAATATTAAAAGATTGCATTTGTTCTTTCCAAATTTTAAAATATTGTGAATCAATTCTAAGCACCAGATTCCCTCCTTTTAATTAATTAAGAATTTCAATATCCGAAAATTGAATAGACAAACAAAAAGAAATTCACTGGAATCGTCTCGATGAGTCTTGCAAAAAAATATATTTAATAAATAACTATTATATAATTAGAGATGTATATGTGTTATATTCCCACTTAGATTTGTATACTATATTTCGTATTGTAAACTTAGGTAAGATATATGGGAGACTTGATCATATATCTTCTATATATTAAAAGTTGCTATGTAACGGAATTTCTTATTTTAAATAGGCAGTTGCACCTTCTTTCAGTGTTTTTATCATAACTTTGTATTCCGATATCCGATTGAGGCGATTCAAAATGCGTTGGAAAGCTAACTCATCTGGCTACAACTTTGATTCAGACATCATTNTAACCATAGTGTTGTGCAATGTTCCATACCAAAACATGAAGTTCAATGCAAAAGCTCAAACAAAAGTAGTAGAAGAAGACACATATAGAAGGCGTTTGTTTTAACATTTCTTTTGCCATGAAAGCGTTTTCTTCATTCTGAGTTGTCCCAAATAATCGAGGATTCATAAACGACATCTTGAATTTTACTTATAAGTTAAACTAACGTGAAACTTATAAGATAAAGAAGCATTATGAATCTTTAATAAAAAAAATGATCGAGAAATATAGTAACATCTTTACCCCATAACAAGATATGTAATTTTTTTTTTTTTCCCTTGTCCCCTGGGGCACGTCCAAGTTGGAAAAGGATGGGCAATGCTGGGCTTGCAACATCAGGGTTGGGAGTTCGATTCCTGGATGGAGCAGTTGAGTGTTGTAATACTTAATTTGGGTGGAACAATTTGGTGATGTAATATCGATGGAGGAAGACTCCATTGGAGTCAGGAATATAAAGGGTGCACAGACCTTGGTCAATTTGAGCATATTCTTCGGTTAACCTCCACCCATCACCGAGGGGTCGGAGATGGGTGGTCCAGGACATAGTCTGGTGTAAGTTAGGATACCTGGATATCAAAAAAAAAAAATGATATGTAATTTTTAAAGCGGTGGGATAGAAAGAATAAGAACAAAAATGCTAGATAAATTAATATTTTCCCTTGGCTAGGAAATCAATTCGAAAGCAGAAAAGGTTTCAAAAATATAAAAGCGATGCCAACGCCGTACATTTTTAGTAAAATTTGGACGAAGGAAATTTCTGCTGGAGACTTTTAGTACAAGAATCAAACATGTTCTAAAACGTGTATAAGTGTGGAAATTAGAGAGAGAAGTAGAAACAAAACATACTTTATTCTTCAATTTTGTTCCATAAAAATTGTATTAGAAAAGTTGAGAATAGATGAGTCTAGTCGAGACGTAAACACAACGATATTCATGTTTGAAACTTGATGAAGACGCGTAATATTTAGTATATTTTTTTATTGATAAATAATTTTTAACACATAATAATTGTATTTAGAAATCGTCCTATATAACCCATGTCGATCCAAATTTGAAATTTCTTTTCATCTCTCCAACATTTTATTCGTCCAGATTGCATAGATTTATTTGGTCAACAAAATTAGGGGCAGACATTTTATTAAATTGTAAAGATTGCATTTGTTCTTTCCCAACATCAAAATATTGTGAATCAATTCCAAAGCACCACATTCCCTTATTTAATAATTGAGCAATGCTATAGGTACAGGGAATTTTATACAGAAAATGAACAGAATACACATAATAGGTGGTTCTTGGTTTTTTTAGCAATATTTAATTCATGTGGACCCGCCTCTACACGTGAGTGGAATTTAAATTCTGTAGAAAATCTGTAAATATTTCCCTGTACTTGCAGTTTTTTTCTTAATAATTGGTTAAGAATTTCAACGTCCCAAAATCGATTACACAGAAAAAAATTATGGAATTTGTCAAAATGAAAATATGGTAAATTATTAATAAGAG